ACAACAATAATTTCCACAATCACAACAACAACCACAAACCTAACAGCAACAACAACAACAACAACAACAACAACAGCAGCAACAGCAACAGCAGCAATAACAATAACAACAACAACAACAACAGCAGCAGCAGCAGCAGCAACAACAACAACAGCATCAACACCAACACCAACACCATCATACTCCGCCTTTTCCTCTTCGTTTTTCCTGCCTTATCCCCTCCACCTCGTCCTTGCTCCTCGTTCCTCCTCCTCCCCCGCCCCCTCCTCCTCCTCCTCCTCCTCCACCTCCTCCTCCTCCTCCTCCTCCTCCTCCTCCTCCTCCTCCTCCTCCTCCTCCTCCTCCCCCTCCTGCATGCCGCGGGAGGTCCCTGGAGGCATACCGAGGCCTCCAGGGGCCCCCGGCCGTCGACCTTCCCCCCCCCCTGTTCCCCCACTTCCTCCGCTGGACGTTGGACTGCGGGCAGTGCCTGGCGGTGCCCCGATGCCTGCGGCGCGCCCTCCCTCCCCAGCCCTCGCCAGGGAGGCGGGGAGAGCTGGAGACATCCCGAGGCATCCAGGGGCTCCCGACCGTCGACCCTCCCCCCCCCTCTCTCCCACTTCCTCCTTCGTTGGACGTTGGACTGCGGGCAGTGCCTGGCGGTGCCCCGATGCCTGCGGCGCGCCCTCCCAAAGCCTTCCCGAGTCGCGAGCGGCCCTGGGACTGGCAGTGCGCGTGTGCCTGGCTCGCGCGGCGCGGGTGCGAGTGGCGCCGCGCTTCGCTGGGGGGCCCGGTGGCCTCGTCACTCCCTCTCGGTGCAAGGCCTGTTTGGGTCCGTGGAGTCGGATCCCAGCCTTCGCCAGGGAGGCGGGGAGAGCAGCGAAGCTCTCGACTGCAGCAAGTGCACCCAGGGGCGGGGGAGAGGACGAGGGGCGAGGGATCACGGCGACCTGAGCGGGGGGGGAATCACGGTGGCCATCTCTCCCGCACCTCTCCTGGGCGTGGAATGCGTCGACGCATCATCGTGCGAGGTCCGCTTGCCAGGTGATTCGACCAGCGGGAGAATCGCAGGGATCTTGGGGGAATTCGCCTTCCGCGCGCAGCACTCAGATCCCCTCGGTGACCTGAGCCGGGGGTAGACACGAGAGGGGTGGAGAGGCTTCGCTCGGCTGCCCTGGGCGGCGCAGCCGCGAGAGTTTTTGGCGGGGGGAGGTGTGGGAGGAATCCTCCTCGTCCTGGCCAGATCTGGGCTGACCCGAGAGACGCTAGAAAAATGGGCGCTCCGGGCAGAGCGCCTCGCAGCGTCGCGTCGCCAGGAGAGCGAAGCGGCGGAAGACTCGGATTCCGACCTCGAGGAGCTGTAGGCTCCCTGGTTCTTTTTCGCTCTTGCTTGTTTAGGCTCGCGCTGCCCCGACTTCACCGTGCGAGAAAGCGCCCGGCTGAGCGCAGCTGGACCCCATTCCAGCACTATCGCGAAGGACATGATGTCGTTCCTGCTGCAGATCCAAGAAGGGATCCAGAGAGAGTGGCCGGGGGCCGCCCATGGCCCCGTGCCGCGGCAGCCTCGAGCATGGAGCGAAGCAGACTGTCGCGACTTCCTGGCCACTATCTACTTGGGTGACGTCCCGGCGGACGGCGCCCCCTGACGCTTCCCATGGAAAGGTAGAGGGGCCGCCCTTGCCCACATTGTCAACCACTTCACCAAGAAGAAAGGGAAAGGATGGGTCGAGCGCCCAGACAACCTTCGACGCTCCTGGCTCACTTTTCTTGGCACTGATTCTGCCGTTCACGGCGCAAGCCCTCTGGGGTACAGCGAACGGGCACTGACCTTGTTCCTGGCCATCCACGACATCCCCGCTGCTGGTACACTCCACAGCCCCGGCCAACACCGTGCCAGCACCAGCCGCCAGGCAGCGGCCGCTTCCAGCCCAAGAAGGGACAGCCGAGAAGACAGCATCGCCAACGTCCCAACCTAGGCCTCCGCCAAATTCTGCTAGCACGAGACGCCTCACGCCCAGCGGTCCCCGCGGCAGAAGATGAAAGTGATGGGCGGCCCAGCGACAGCACCGCGCAGGACACCAGAGACCCCGCCAGAGAGGCTGACCTCGCAGACAGCAGCAACGCAGCCACGGCGCCCCCTGCAGCCAGTCTGAGCAAGTCATCTGGCGCCCGATGCCGCACCCGGAGAGCCGAGCCGCCCAGCCCAGCAAGGTGCAACCTTGAAAGACGAGCCGGCTTGGTCAGAAAACGAGGACGAAGCTAACGCCGCAGCCCGCAAAGGCACCCAGCTCCTGGACCGCGGCCTCCCGCACAAGGCGCACTCAGGCAGCAGGCCAGACCTGGCCCTCGGAGGCTTCGTCATGACGCGTGACGACGTCCCCACCGTGCCAATGGTATGGACAACCAGCCCAGGCGAGAAGGGCACCTTGCTCGCGCCCGCCAGGATCCCTGGCTGGCCCAGTCCAAGAGGTACGCTACCCCGACGCTCCCGCCCTGCCTGGGGGGTCTAGCCTCCTCAGCGCGAGAGCGCGACAGGCCTGGACGGTCTCCTGGGACGCGGCCGACACAGCGCACCGCGCGTGGGTCATCGAGCGGGACGCGCTCATCGGGTCCGAGACTGGCCGCGCACTCGGCCTGCTCCAGGACGACCATGCTCCGGACCAGGCGCAGCGCCCAGTGGGCCGACAACCAGCGCCCCCGCACATGGCCACGGCATCGACCCCGACTGGTCGAAGGAGGCAAGGCAGGCCGCGGCCAGCGCCAGGCGCGAAATCGACAGGCGCATGGACAGCATGCGGGACCCGGCCTGGCCCGACGACCACGCTGACCGAGCCTGGCTCGACCTGGATGACAGGTTGCACTGCCAGCTACGGCCCCGCGTTCTGTTTCAGCGCATGCACGCCCAAGGCGGCCTAGAGAGCTGGGGTACCGTCGCCAAGCGTCTCCAGATCGAGGCTGGTTTTTACTTCGGCGAAGGTTGGAAGCGCGCATGCGACATGCGTGACAACAGGGGCATTGGCCAAGGGCGATACAACCCGCTGACCAGCGAGGACTTCTGCCGAAAGATCATGGCCGATCTGCGGCATTGGAACTTCGACATCAAGAAAACTACTGGTGAGAAGGTACCCACGTGGACTGGGACAAGGTCTGGTGTAACCAGCAGGCCGAGAACACGCGCAGGCGAGAGACGCGGGAGCGCTAGGCCGCCGAGCAAGGCAAAGGGCGCGATAAAGACGGCAAGCCCGGCAAGCGCCGCTTTGACACCGCCTGGGACGACGCCCCCGGCACCCGCCCTCGGCGCTAAACACCGGCGCCACCGCAGCCACCACCACCAGGCTGCACTGTGCACCTCTACGGGGCGTGCCGCCCGCGGGCATCGCGCCATTCCACGCATGCCCCTCATCCCTTCTCCCCCCTCGCCACGGCGTCGTGCCTCCCATTGGGACGCGCGACGCCGCCCTTCATTGTTCCTTGCATCACTTCGGTGCTCCCTCACTCTTCCGCCGCGACTGACCGCTCCCCATGAGGCGCGTGGCCCTTTGGGTTGGGCGCCTCCCCGCACCTGGATTGGCACCTCCTCGGTGCCCTCCCTCACCTCTTCTCCTGGCGACGCACCTCCCGTTTGGGACGCGCGTCGCTCACACTCTGCCCCCTGCACCACTTCGGCGCTTCTCTGCTGCACCGCGCTGGACCGCCCATTGGGCCAGCGTCTTTACCCGGCTTCTGCACCTTTCGGCGTTCCCCTCCGCCGCCCCCTCGCGACGCACCTCCCGTTTGGGACGCGCGTCGCTCATTCACTGTCACTGCGTTATTTCGGTGCTCCTCTGCTGCACCACGCTGGACCGCCCATTGGGCCGCCCAACGTCGTCAATCAGTTTCTGCACCTTTCGGTGCTCCCCGCCGCCGCCCACTCGCGATGCGCCCCCCGTTTGGGACGCGCGTCGCTCACACTCTGTCCCCTGCACCACTTCGGCGCTTCGCTGCTGCACCACGCTGGACCGCCCATTGGGCCGCCCTGCTTTGCTACCCAGTTTCTGCACCTTTCGGTGCTCCCCTCCTTCCGCGGCAGCCCCGCGCTGCCTCCTCCCGTTGCGATGCTGTTCCGCCCCGCCGCTTGCGGGTGTTTGGGACACTTCGCCCGCCGCCACCTGCCACACCCCTCTCTGCCCTCTGGCCACCTGGCGCGTCCTTGGGCGGTCACGCTGCCATACCCCTGCCACTGCCAGCAATCTGGCTGCGTTGCCACCTCCTTCCGGCAACCCCGCGCTTCCTCCTCCCGTTGCGTTGTTGTTCCGCCCCGCCGCTTGCAAGCGCCTGGGTCGCTTCGCCCGCCGCCTCCTGTCCCACCTCTCCCGGCCCCCTGGCCACCTGGCGCGCCATTGGGCGGTCACGCCGCAATACCTCCGTCAGTGCCAGCCATCCGGATGCGTTGATCCTGCCTCCGCAAGGCTCAGTGTTGTGCCTACTCCTCCGCGCGCCGCGGTACCTCTACCGTTCGCGGTGTCCCACCGCGCCCGCCCGCCAGCTCCAGCTGCTGGCAGCCGCCCTCCCGCCACCACTGCCACCGTGGTCTGCCACGGCCGCCCACCGCGCTCTGGCACTGCGCGCCTGGTTGCTGCTGCCCCCCCCCCGGCTGCTCATCGTCGAACTCTTCGACGTCTGACCGTCCCTTCTTCCTCTCGGCCGCCCCCCCCCCTCTTGGCCCGCCGGCCAATTCGCGAGTTAGTGTCCCTTTCTAGCTTCTCGCTCTGGAGCGGAGTTCGCCGCCTCGCCGCTGATGGAGAAAATTAGGCCCGTGCGGCATCGACGCACGGTCCGCTGCAGCGAAGCGAATCGAATCCGCCTAGGACCACGGTCTGCTCAAGAGAACGTGCCCTGGACCCCTCACAGGGCCCATCGCGGCCAATGTTGCACTGAACCATGGATCGGTGCTGAAAGCCACGGGGGCCGAAACGGGTACCCGGGGGCCGAAACTAAACAACAAATCCTCCTCCCCCTGCCTCCAATCAGCGGCCGTGGAGGAAGATCGTTTGCTGCACAACGTCGCCTCTCGGTACCTCGACCGGACGGACGACTTTTACGACGCCGAGGCGACTTTCAAGGCCAGAGATCTTCGCTGCGCCCGCCTGTCAGTAGAAGTGAATCCTCCCCGTGCCCCGCCGCGTCGGCAGGGGATGGGAAAGTTCGAGGATCGAGCTGCGAGGATCAAGGTGCGGGGACCTGTTGGACCTCCGGAAGCCTCCAGAGGCTTGGGGGGGCCCTCGGGAGAAAAGCACGGGCCTCTGGAAGCTTCGCGAGTCTTCTGGAGGCATGCGGATGTTGCGCCTGCGCATCCTGAGGCTTCCCGGTGGTTTCGGGGTGTGGATCCGAGAGGATCTTTGGGGCCCCCAGGGGGGGTGCTTGGGCGTGCAGCAACAGCTGCGCCTTCTCGAGATCTCCCCAAGGACGCCAGGTTCGTCCTGGACGGCTCAGCAGCCCCGACTCGTTGCGTGATACGGCCGGACCGAGGTACAAGATCGAGGTCGACTCGGGGAGGGTACCCTGATGTTCTGCGTGTTTGTTGCATGTTCTTGCGCATCCTGTGGAGGGTACCCTCGAGTGATAATTCCTGGTGTGCGGTGTGTTGGCCGGCGGAGATTATCATGTTCTTGAAGGATGCTATTATGTCTTAGGTCCAGCCGCATCCGACCCCGAGCCAAGTCTCTGGGTCGGTTTTGAAGGTGGCCGCGGCAATCGCGGCGGCCACTGATCGGGGCAGGGTTTTTGTCAACGAATGGCGTGCCCCTTCCAACCCACCCCCCGCTCTGCGATGAAGGCGAAGCTCCCACTGAACAGTATGGCGACAGAGAGTTGTCAATGTATGTCCACCATGGGGAGTCATTCCCAACCATCCTGTGATGTTGTGTCCCCGTTTTGAAGAGACAACGCCCCGCGTCTCCTCCTTCCTTCCTCCTCCCCCTTCCTCTTCCTCCTCATCCTCCTCCATCCTTGCCGCTGCCCTCCGCATATCCACTTCGGCACACCCCTCACATGCTTCGTGGTCCAATAGGGAGCTCCAGCTATGGGTCAAAAGCCAGGGTCCACATGGCGTCGGTGCCTCTTTTCGGCACGCCCTTCACACGCTTCGTGGCCCCATAGGGAGCTCCAGCTAAGGCCCAAATACCAGGGTCCGCATGGCGTCGGCGCCGCATGCCAGCACACCCCTTACACGCTCCGTGGCCCCATAGGCAGCCCCAGCTAAGGCCCAAATGCCAGGATGCGTATGGCGTCGGTGATTGATTTCGAGGCACACCTCACACGTTTCGTGGCTCCATAGGGAGCCCCAGCTAAGGCCCAAATGCCAGGGTCGGCATGGCGTCAGTGAATGATTTCGACGCACCCCTCACATGTTTCATTGCCGCAGAGGGAGCTCCAGCTAAGGCCCAAATGCCAGGGTCCATATGGCGTCGGAGAATGATTTCGACACTCCCCTCACATGTATCATTGCCACATAGGGAGCTCCAACTAAGGCCCACATGCCAGGGTCCGCATGGCGTCGGTGCCTTATTTCGGCACACCCTTCTCACGCTCCGTGGCCCCATAGGGGGCTCTAGCGAAGGCCCCCAAATGCCTGGGTCCGCTTTGCGTCGATGCCCCATGTCGCCGGCCCTTCACTCCTTTCGTGACCCAAATGCCAGGGTCCGCGTGGCGCCGAAGGCGACACTCACAGCGACGGTACTCACAACTGCATATGGGTGGGTCCTTCGCCAGCCACGCTACTCTAAGCCATACGCCGAAGCGCGCAGGCGAGACAGACAAACAGGAAAATGAGTAGGGCGCCAAAACATCGGGCATCACATGCAATGTACAGAAAGAATGCTACAGGTAATCGCCTTGACCACGGTGGTTTGCCATGCTTTCCGCAATAGTTTGGGGTCCTGCAGCCGCTGCAACCAAGTGTGTCCCAGTCCAAGATGAGCAACCGAAGTCTTGTGTTGACATTTCGCGTTTAGGTGTATGGGTCTGCCTTTTTCTCCGTTGACGCACATCCACGATTGAACAAATGCTGCCAGGCTGAAAGGTGAATCGTCGAAGAAAGTCTGTCTTCGGAGCCCGGCCAATTTTGCCAAAAAGCAGAATATGATATTTCGTTTGCCTAGCTTTTCCAAGCACCTTGCAATTCGTCACTCCCGTCGAAAAGCGGAAGGTACATGTAATATTCTTCGTAGGCATATGGCTTGAAATCTATCCAAGCGTCTCCATTCAGCCTTGTTTAACCATGCCGTGTGTATTGCATGCATGATGCGGGATGCCACCAACGATCAATCACATTGTCGCGACTTGCTCAAGGCAGTGTGTTTTCACGAGTTCGGCCCACGCTGCCCCTACTCGTTTGTTCAATTCGGTACCCCACTGTCCAGTATTGTGTGGAGTAGCACTGAAGCATGTAATATGTTGTTTCTCTGCAGTAGCCTGCCCAGCCAGCGTCCTCAACGTCACGTCGTTGATTTGTTTGATCATCTGACATTTGCCCCAGTGTAATTCCACTCCTATTTGCGCCCACGCCAAAGCGATATTGTCTGGAAGGTGCTGCAGGCTGGTGTGGATCCCCCCGATGAGCAGCGTACCGTCGGCGTACAGCAGGGCCGAACGATTCCCAGAAGCCACATCGAATTTGTCGTTTTCGCTCAGGTTGTTCTCGGCGCAGTGCCGCCTGCAAAGCTTCGACAATTATGGAGTCAAATTATGTTTTCCAATACAGGGCGGCAAGTGCAGTCCCACCATCGTTCTTAGCGTCTGCGAGCTCCATATGCCGCCATGCTGTGTGAATGGCATGTGTCGTACCTCGCCCACGGCGGAAAACAGCATTGAGTTCGCCACAGCCGGTCTTCAGCCCCTGTCTGTTGTAGACGATGTAAGAGGAGGTTGGCGAGAAGTTTGGTGCGCCACGCATCATATATTGATTGGTCGATGAGATTCACAAATTGGGATCGGGCCCTTGTTCTTGTATACTGCGCTCACCGTGGCATGCCGCCATGCTTCGGGAACTGTGCTCCGCTCACATGGTATTGCATTGTTCTGCCACCCACCTCAATCTATCAGGTGTTTCTGATATTTCTTTCGAATACTCTGCACAGATATCGTCCGGTCCTGCTGCTTTTCTCCACTGGAGTTTTTGCACAGTTTCCCCCACCTCCTGCATTCTGAAAGCCAACGTGTCGTTGTCGACCAAATTTGGCGGCCGTACTTTCCAGCGCATTCGTTCCAAGTAGGTTGCCACAGTATCAGTGCGCTCACGGCTTGCAACTAGGCCATGTAAGTTTTGAAGCTTGCCTTGCTTATGTTGCCGTGGTTTGCAATATCTCCGAATATCGTTCCAACGCCCAGATGCAATGTTTAAATCCAACCTGTTTGATTTATGAAGTTAGCATGGTTATCTTATTTCTTTCAGCAAAATGCGGTCTTCTGGACGACCATTGCTGGCACGAGCTTCGCTTCTTCGCTGTATCTTCATCCTGCACCCAAGTACATTTCTGCAATGACTGCACTGCGGGATCTCGAAGCAGACCTCTGTCTCGAAGGGGCTTGTGCGGCAGTGGATCATCATGTTGATCGCATTGGATACCAATTGTCAAAAAGCAGGGGTCCGTTGGCAGAGCTGCCTGACGATGCGTTCTTGAATTCCGCATCTGGCCCAACTTGGCCTCACCGCAAACGATGTAATGCAGAATGTTGTATTGGCCTTCGGAGAGAAGCCCTTTCGCTTTGGCTCCTGCTTCCATGAAGGTTATTGTGTCTTCGAATGGCCGCTCAACATATGTGTCTTCCAATTTCACGTCGAAATCGTAGCAAAACTCCATGAGCGAGTGCCTACTAGGTACTTCGATTTCATAGAGCGCCCGCCTACCCCAAGCGAACGGCCCTACAGTCGACAATTCCCCTGCGTCTGCATGCCCAACTCGTGCATTCACGTCCCCCATGATAACATTGCCAGTTGTGGCGCAAGATGTCCAGAATTCGGCGTCCAGAGTATTCCAAAACATACGTCTTTCCGGCAAGAACTTCAAGTTGTGGGGTGCGCATACGCCGAATATTTTGAGTATGCGGCATCAAAGTTTGATTATGAATGGCAGTAGCAATATTATTTCGGAAATGTGTTTGCTTGTAGTACGGTATGCACGTGGTTCGGAGAGAGGGTGCAACCAATTCCAGCCCATGGTGTTGCATCTGCATCTTCTCTTGAAAGAATGATGCGGCATCCATTGTTCTCATATTCGTAGTCTTCTGCTTTTGTTGCTGTGCGTCTTGCATGCATGAGACATGGATTCCGTATGCTCCCATCTTCTTCGTGATGTCCAGTAGTTTTTGTTGCGTCAAACCACGCACGTTCCAGGTAGCGCGCCGTAGTATTGAAGGTTGTTCGTGAAGACGCGGCCCAGCAGGATAGATAGTATTTTTGTCCAGTCTGACATTGGGGAAAATCAAATGTGGAGAAATTCCAGGGTCAGCGGACCCCAAAGGTGAAACAGCCCGACGCCCTTGGCACCATCAATTCTTATGTGCCTTTTTTATGACCTTTTTGGCCTTGTTGGCCGCGTTCGCTGCAAGGAGATCTTTAGCTTTCTGTTGGACTTCCGCCCAGTCTGATGAAGTTTGGAGTTCGGCCCATGGTTCACAAACCGTGTCCAGCCAGATAATCTTCAAGGAGTCAGCCTCGATCGTCGCACGCATGATGTTCATGCCCCCAGCCTTGATGAAGCAATTGTCCGTATCAATTTTGAGATAGCGTTTTTCGAATCCCCATTGTGTCAGCAAGTAACGCAATCCCAGCAGCACGTAGTGAGGAAACGACTCGTGACTCGATCGTGGCGTCGAGGCTACACCATACTCTGCTTTTGCCAGCCCTGCGTTGGAGCGACTTGGTAGCAGCCTCTTGAAGATGCTGTTGGGCTTGTTGTGCCATGCATCGGGTGTCAAACTGCAGGAGCATGGTGCCTTTAAACTCCTGTCTGGGAGAGCTTTTTTGCAGGTTTTGATTGTGACGAGCCCCGTGTGTGCCAGTGCTTTTTGCGCCCAGCGTTCAGCATCGACAAGGACATCTTGTGGAAATCCTCCCAGGACGATTGGCGTTGTGTCCCTCGGCTGCACAGTTGATATTATGACCTTGGCGTTGTAGTCTGCATTTGGTTGATCGTCTCCTTGAGTTCGGTAATCTCTTTACGAATGCCGAACTGCAAACTGCATATCTGTCATTTCATCTCGAACTGCTGCCAATTTGTCTTCTACGTTGGTAGCCTGAATGTTAAGTTCCTCCACCTCCGCTTCGATTGAAGTCGCGGAGGTCGGTGTTGATAGTCTCCCAGAGTTTCTTGAGCTCGTACCCGAGGGTCCGGACCACGCGCACTGTAGGTGCTAGATGCGCTTTGGGCACATTCTGCATGGCTTTGATCATTACCGTGCCACCTTCTTCCGAATCGTCGTCGTCCTCGTCGTCAATGTTGGAACCGTCATTCCCCTGTGACGTGGCGCCTCCCGCATGAAAACCAGTTTCGCTTTGTTGATATTGATGTGCCGTGTCGTAGTCCACAGGTGTTACCAGACCTGCTAGTCGTGCTTGCTTTAGGGCGCTCTTCGGCGGTGGTGTTCCCAAAGCGTATTCTTCAAGATTTTCGGGTCGTTTAGGTCCAGCTCGATCCGCTTGCGCATTGAATTGCCGCCTCACAGGAGTACCTGGCACACGCGCGTCACCCCGTGCACTCGAAGAAGACGTCGCAGCCATAGAGGTAGTGCAAGGGTAGACGAAACCGTGCGGAAGTAAGTGGGGGAAGTTGAGTCAGAGACGCTCCGGCACGAAATTGTTACGAATTTTTTTCTGAGCCAATTTGAGCCAAAGTCGGCAGCACGCCCACCCAGATCTCCGAGGAGGGTCAAGGGTCAAGCCTGCATGTCCGCGAAGGGGCGGCCGCTTGGAGCACAGGCGGGTGAACATTGGCAGGCGCTCACGTGCTGAAGGCTATCTCTTGCCGTACGGTTCCGGGAGTGCGCGTCGTTGGTTGCCATTCTCGGGTCGCCGACACAGATGTCCGAGGATACAGTGGAAACCCATGCCAAGAGACAATTTGCTTGCCTCCAGGTTGCCATGGGTTTCTTGGGGTTCGATGGTTCTGCCATGGAAAGTGTGACATTCCCACACCAAAAGTCAATGGACGTCCTGGGGTCTCAGGGTTGGGTTTCTTGTGGAAGGTTTCTTGTGGTCGAGCTCCTACTGTGTGGCTTTTCAGCCCTTCGGGGGCCATCATCGGGCCCCAGGGCCATCAAAAACAGATTTGTGGCGAAAAACTACCCCGGGGGGAGGCGGTCAGGAGTTTCGGGGCGCGGACTGAAGAGATCACACCCGCGGATGTCAGGGGAGGGAGGCGGATTGACCGTGGGCAGGCCTTCTCAAAAGGCGGCGGGGCTTCTCAGAAGCCGCCCAACCTGCTGAGCAGCCCCCGCGTGGCTTCGGAGAGGGCTCGGAAAGCTCATTGCAAGGCCGGAGGACCGAGCTGCCGCCCGGCACGCCAATGTCGAAGCGCAGCACGCGCCGTGCTCGAGAGACGTCCGTGCTCACACGCCGCGCGTCGGCCCAGCACGTGCTGGAACGCGTTTCGGCGAGCGCGTCGCGCCAGGCGTGCTGCGTGCTGAGCTCCGTGTCAGCATGCTGCGGGCTGCGCGTTGCGTACAGTCAAAAACCCTAAGAAGGACGCGCGACTTTGCTCAGGGTACCCTTGCGTCCTTGCTCTTCCTTGCTCTTGCGTCCTTGAGGTTTTCGTCGTCCGCCGCCCCAAAAATCCCAACTTCGGCTTCCAAGGGTCTTGCGTCCTTACCTCGCGTCCTTATTAGGGTTTTTGACTGTACAGGGGCAGAGGGCTTCCGAGCCTTCTGTCACCGAGCGCGTTCCACTACTCGCGGAGCGCCTGCTCGCAAGCGCCCGAAAACCAGATGTCTGCTTCGATGTAATGTATTGTAGATCCCCCGCGGCGGATCCAGGCCATTTGAGAGTAGCTACTTTGCGAGTAGTGGAACGCGCTGGTCTATTCTGGAAAGGCCCGCCCCCTCTGCGTTCCCCCCCCCAAGGGTGCGCCACCGGGAGGGGGGGGGCCCCGGGCAGCAGCCCACGGCGCCATTCTCGCGCGCGGGGCGGAGGGGCCCAGGGTCGGGGGCGGCCAGGAGTTACGTCGGGCGTGCTCCTCTACAGGAGGAGTATTGAAAGATAGTTCCAAAGTAATCTGGGGACGATTTTCTGACTACTTTTGAATATGTTTGAAGCGTTTTGGGGGGTACTTTTTGAAATTTGTCGCCCAAAATCCGCCTGCAGGGGGACATGCCCGACCTGGGCCAAGAGGGGAGTGAGTGGAGGGGGGAGATATGGCAGAGGGAGGCAACTCGTGGACACTCCCCCGCTCCCCCAACTTCAAGGTTGGCGCGCGCGGGGGGGAAACTGCGGTCGAACTGCAGATCATTCAACCCACAGCCAACAGTGATTATTTGGGGGGTGACATTGACAGATGAATGCGGCATGAGTGTTCGCTAATGTCTTCCATGGCCTGTATCATGGCAGGGTCCCCCCAGCTGAGCTGCCCTGATACGCCCGTTTTGAAGCGCAACGCGTACCGTGTTCAAAACGTGTTGGCTCAACGTGTTGGCCCATTCATTGACGAATGTATCGCGCCAAACGTACGTATTCAACCTACGTGTTGAGCTCCGTGTCAACACGCTACGGGCTGCGTGTTGCGCATCGGGGCAGCCAAGCTCCCCAGATGTCATGGCGCCTCTTCTTATTTCAACACGTTGCTCCGCTTCTTTCAAGACGTTCCCTGGCCCCCCCTCGTCCGCGCACGTGCTTCGGGCCATGATCTGCTCGCCCCCCTCTAGGACGCCCCCCTCTCGGACTCCCCCGAGAGACCCCGCACACCGAAAGTGCAGCCTCCGAGCTGGCCGCCCAGACGCAGGGCTGAGCTGGCCAGCGCTCGCTACTCCCCCGACGGGGGCGTGACCAGCAGCCTGGGGACCAGCAGTGGCCGCCCGAGCCGCTGGGAGACGATCTCGTCGGAGGTCGTGGAAGAAGCGCCCGACCCGCGCAGGGCGGCAGAGGAAGAGACAGCCGGACTCCTTGCGCACCACCCTGCGAGGGGGCCATGGCAGCGTATTGGCATGTCAGTGCGTCAGGTTGCTCCGTGTGCGCTGGTACCTGCTCATGACTGCAGTCGAAGCGAAGCCAAGCCCGCACCGACCATATCAAGGCATCTTCCCCGCCGTGGGCGGGGGTGTGGCCGAGCGGGCCCTGGAGGAGAGAGTCCCAAGATCGGCGGGCTGCAAACCTCCCGGACGGTGCGGGAACCGCACCGTGCTGTGAGTCAGTTGGGATTCGGGGTGGCCGCACGGTTTTCTCAGAGAACATCTCGGGTGACCGGGGCATCCACGGTGCGGTGACGGGCTGTGCGGTGAGGTCTCTTGGGATGGCGAGGTCACCGCACGGTCTGTCACCGCACCGTTTCAGAACCTTCAGCCTTCAGATCATGGGCGATGCAGAAGAGTCGTGGAAGCCAGCTTCTGATCGCTCTCGGCCTCCAGAGGTCCCCGCGACAAACAGAAGACGGCCGCGCATGATGGGGCTCTCGCTCGAGACATCTTCGAAAAAACTAATAGGAGGAGGGGGAGGAGGAGGAGGAGGAGGAGGAGGAGGAGGAGGAGGAGGAGGAGGAGGAGGAGGAGGAGGAGGAGGAGGAGGAGGAGGGGAAGGAGGAGGAGGAATTGGGGGAGTGTTCAAAGCCTTGGGTGGCCAGACGTCGCGGACAAAAGTTACAAAATTTCGAAGGGGAGGGGAGGAGGGCTTCGTGTCGGCACCACGAAACACACATTTACACTACTCATGTGCGCTTTCTGGCCGTGCCGTCCGGGAAACGATGTGTCATGAGAGCAGTGTAATTACTGGATGAACGTGTCGGCCGTGCGCCTCAAAAAAATAGCACGTAGTACTAGCACGCTAGGTTCGCGTCGTGTCGATTGGCGGCGACAAGAGCGCGGGCGTTTATGGTTGAACGCCGCCCGTGGCCCAGAATCAGCCTTATCGTTGAAGGATCCGGCGTTTCTGAAACGACCGATCGTTCAAGCTTGAACGATCCCCTCGGTGTCAGGAACCAACGCCAGGGTCGACACGACGCACACCTGCCGCATGCCCTTCTGCATCCCATCCGCAGCAGAGGCCGGCCACCAGCCGCGCGGGCCGATCGTGGACATCGACGCGGGGATCTTGCAGCGCATCGTGGGCTTCGTCGTGGACCAGCTGCAGGGCGGCGCCGGCCCGGAGGGCGCGCGGCGCGAGGTCGGCCTGCTGCAGAGCGTCACGAGAACGCTGACGGCAGCCCTCGCCGAGCAGCCCGCCGACGCGAAGGTGACGCAGCTCGGCGCGAGGATCGGCGGCGAGCCCCGGGGGGAAGCCAGAGGGGGCGGGCCCTCTCTCAGGAGGCCCAGAAGGCCTCCGGCCTTCTGAGAAGTTCCCTGTCATGGACCGTCTCTGGAGGCCGGGGCGGCGTCTCGGAGGGCGGCGGGGCTTCCCAGGAGCCCCGCCGCCTGCCGAGAGGCCTCGCTCGCCGCCGAGAGGAAGCTGGTGCGGGAGGCAGTGGCGCGGGCGGTGCTGAGCGCGGCACGGCCCGGGCGAGCGGGGGCCCCGCCGCCGTCGGGGGCCGAGGCCGCGGCGCCGGCCGTCGCCGGGCCGCGGCGGGGCCCGGGGGGCGCCGCGCGGGCGCGGGAGGAGCTGGAGCAGGCCGAGCGGGGGGCGGAGGAGGCGCGCAGGGCCCAGCGGGAGCTCCGCGCGCTGGAGCGGGAGGAGGCCGCGAGGAGGCAGCGGTCCGGGCGGGAGGGCGGCGGGGCCGAGCGCGAGGCGAACGAGCTCGAGGCCAGGAGAGCGGCGCGGGGCCTCAGGGAGCTGGAGCGGGCCAGCGGCGCCGAGGCGGAGGAGGAGGACGGGCTCGGGCCGCACGCGGGCGGCGCGGGGGGCGCCGGCGGGCTGGCCGAGCGAAGGGCCGAGCTCGAAGGCGGAGGCCCTGCTCGGGAGGCCGAGTTCCAGCCGCACCCGGCCGCCGGGGCGGAGCACGAGGCCGGCCAGGCATTCCAGAAGGTCAAGAGCATCGGGCAGGCCCTCGGCGCCGCCGAGCTCGTGCCGAGGCTCAGCGAGGCCGTCTGGGGCCAGCTGGGAGCCGTGTGGGCCGAGGCCTCGGAGGGCGTCGTGGTGGCTGGCCGGGAGCCCGAGATCGCGGCGGCCCTGCTCGAGCTCGCGGGTGCGCTCACCGAGGGCCAGCTGCCGCACGGTCGCAGCGGCGCGCCCCAGCGCACCCGCGCGGGCCGCGCGCTTCAGCTGGACACCCTCGCGAGGGCTCCGGAGGGCCTCGCCCCTTGAGGCCACTGTAATTCGTGCCAGGCCCGGTCTCGCTACCCGTGCGGTTTCAGCTGACCAGATCCGAGCACCCAGGGAGCTCGCCTCACGACCCCTCCTGGTCCACCTCCTCCCTCCTGCTCATCCAGCCTCACGACCTTCACTGCCAGGAAGGGGCCCGTCCGTGCCTTCCGCAGGCGACACCGTGTAGCAGAGACGTGAAGGGTCAGGCTCGCTGGTGAAGCACCGAGGGGCCAGAGGGGAAATCAGGAGCAAGACGACGACAACGAGGAAAGAAGAGAGGAGAGAGGCGAGATGAAAGGCTTCTCCAAGCTTGGAGTCATTCCCTGGGCACCCTGCCCTCCAGGAGCCTGGGACAGTTCCAGAACTTTCGGGGGTTTGGCATGATGCGAGAAGTTTGCTAGCGTGGTGCATGATGCATGATGCGAGTGTCACATTCCACCACAGAGCTCAGAAAACTATGTGCAAACGCGCTCCTTGACGTGCGCACACGGAGCCTAAGTCTAGGGCCGCCCCGTCCTGAGACAAGAGAGGCAGGACGGGTTCAGCCGACCGCCTGGGGTGACTACGTCTCCGAAGACACCTCCCAGAGCCGATCATAGCAGCTTCATTCCATCCCAACCCACACCGGGGAGTGTGTTGGGGTTCCCCTCTGCCCTCCCGTCCTGTCAGCGCGCCGGTCCGTCGAGCCGTCGTTGGCACCGGAGGGGGCCAGGGCCCTCCTCACGGCCCCTCGGCCAACGAAGACGGTCGTAGGGAGGGGTGCCAACGTACCTCCACAACACTGACCTCAATATCTGAAGGCGCCAATTGCCACCATCCAGTGTTTTCCTCCCTGGGGCCGCGAACGCGATTGTCTCCCCTGCCAGCTGATTGCACTTGTCACCGTCAATTAATGCATGCTCTACGGCACAGTGCCCTCCCCCCCCCCAAAAAAAAGCAGGGGTGTTGGAGGGCAGTGCCCGCGCCACTTCGTTGTCGCTCGTGCGGCGGCCCCGTGCACGCCCCACCCAACCAGGTGATGGTTCGACCCGTGCCGCCAGGGCGTCAGTCACGCGGTCGCTCCCGCTCCACACCCTTGAAGCCTCACCCGAGCTCTTTGAGGACGGGCGTCTGGGAACTTCCCCGTCACAGTCATCAAGAAGTGGGCGGTGTATTCGCGATGCAGCATCCCGGGGACGTCTGAAGGGGTGCGCGAGGCAAGCGCCGACCAGGTGTGGCATGTGCCGCCGGCCCAGGGCAAGGCAAAGCACCCCTCATTGGAAAATATCTGTTTAGATAAGCGCGTCCATGCTTCCCTCTCCCCCCCCGCCTCCCCTCCTTCATTTCCCCCTCACTTCCTCTCCTCCCTCCTCCTCCCGCCTCGGCGTGCTGGCGGAGTGTCTCGGCGGCAACCGGCGGTAGCCTGTGGCGGTGAACCCAAAATGGGGTCGGCCCTTGCTTTGTCCTGGCGGTGCCCGCGGCGGGGTTTCGGCGGAAACTGGTGAAGGCAAATGGCGCTGCAGGCTCTCAAAAACCAGGATGCCACCACGCAGCTATGACGGGCGGCTCGCGCCGGAGCCCCCGCACGTGGCGCTGGGCTTTCAGGAGCACGGGTGCCGTCACGCAGCTGTGGCGGGCGGCTCGCACCGGAGCCCCCTTTTTACAGCACAGCTTGGGCATTGCCAGCCCCTCCTCGGCACGAGCGCCAACCCTGTCCCAGGTGGGCGCCCGGCTCAACACCATGGAGGGACATATCGAACAGATTTGGAGGTCCCTCTCGCCAGGTGGCAGAATAGCAGACTTCTCGTGTGCTGGCCCGTCCGTTGGTTCGGCACCGGCCCATGCTTCTATGTTGGTTGTGCCTCGCCGAGGTTTGCTTCCTGGTTCAGTTGCGGCATCGCCGGCATGATCACGGATAGACCGGTACAACCCATTTCATGAACAGGTTTCGGGGGCGGGCATTTTGGGGCTCATTCCCCCGGCGTCCCCCACAGAACGAGTGCGCCCGGCGGAGCCTCGCGCCGTGATCTGGCGTCTTGCTTAAGGGCGATGAGTTGTTGTTTTCTCCCAGGGGTCGGGCACAGTTTTGTTTCAGTCAGGCTCCCCACATTCAGGATCCCCGCGGCCAGGAAGTCAGACCTGGGCATCGGCTCATCGGGTATCCTCGACGTCGGCTTCCCCTCCCCATTTTTTTCAGGCGAGGACCATCATAGGCCTCTGCCCCACAGGTGGTGACCATAGGCACCACCCCTCGGCAGCTGCAGTCGCAGGGGCTGCCGGGCCCCAGTCCCATCAGCGTACCAATCTATTGAGCCGTCATTGGCACCGGACGGGGCCGAGGCCCTCCCCACAGTCTGGCCATGGGAAGAGTGCCAACATACAGCAACAATTTTTACCTCAAGACCTGAAGGCCAATTGCCACCATCCAGTGTTGTCCTCCCCCCCCCTTCCCCCGCGCGGGGCCGAGGCCCTGATGCACAGCCCTGACGACCCGCTGACGTGGGCCCTCTTCGGCCCCCGCGAGCGCGGCCCGCGCCTGCGCCTGGGCCTGGGCAGCCCCGCCTGCGGCCTCACGCCGAAGAGCCCCGCCGCTTGGCGCCGCCCCGCGGCGGCGGCGGCGACGGCGGCGGCGGCGGCGAGGGCGACGGCGACGGCGACAGCGGCGGCGTCGACGAATGCGGCGACGACGACGGCGGCGGCAGCGACAGCGGGGAGGGCGAGGATGAGGACGAAGAGGCCGTCGAGGAGCTGCGTGGTGCTGCGAGGTCGCCTCGGTGAGTTCGGTTGTTTCTTTCGCGGCGGGGCTAAGCACATATGGCCAAACCTTTTCTAAGAGTGGAAATGTGAGTCATTCCCATGCGCGAGAGAGTCCAAAGTTTGATCTGGATCCCCCGATCCCCAGCGGGTGGAACTGCTCTCAGGCTGGCTGGCATGTTCAATTCCGATGTTCCAAACAATGTTGCGCAGTCCTTCAGCCCATTCAACCTCACGCAGAAGAATCTAGACGAAACCATCGCAAATCTTCACGCACATGTGGCTGGGCTGGGATACTGTTGAAAGAAGCGCTCATTGATCTCGAGTTATCACTCGACGAAGCGATGAGGTCGACACCCGAGCAGACCAGGATTGCTGGAGCGGGCATGGAGCAGCTGAGTGCGAAGATTCGGAATGTAAGAGGTGGGACTTTTGGGGGGGCCAGTCTAAGACGGACTCAAACCAAGAAGCCACAAAACTTGCAGGATAAGGTTTCACTCGCGACGACGAAGGTAGCAATCGCGCCAGCGGTGAGTCGATCTTCGACTTGGCCCGCGACGGTGATTCGAGGGCCATTGCCGTGCAGCTCACTACTTGGGCCGCACAATATCTGGGTTCGGACTTGGGCAACGGACCCGCGACTCCCAAGAGGTGAATACCAGCATTACCTTACCGCGCTCGATGCCGACGCACGGCCAGGGACCACCGAAATGCCTCGACGTAGTTGGCGCCGTGGCGCGAGCACAATTCCTTGGTAAATTGTAAAGACGATCACGGGAGAGCCGTGCTGGAGCAAATCGTGTCGATGCCTCGACTAAAGCGCGGCGGGGAGTGAGGACGCCGGATGGGGGAGGAGAAAGGGAGGAGGAAAGAGCTCCGAAATACCGCGCGAAAGGAGTAATGGAGGAGGGAGACAGGACCAGGCTCAAACGCCACCTGCCTGAGGGCATCCCTAACGAGGCTGCTTCCTGGAAGCGGCATGAAGACTGCGAAGGCACCCCTGGCATGGCGGAGGAAGCGAAGAAAGGAGGGAACAGGAGAAGGAGGAGGAGGAGGAGGAGGAGCATTCCGAGGAGGAGGAAGCGGAGGAGGAGGAGGAGGAGGAGGAGGAGGAGGAAGATGATGAGGGAGAGGAGGAGGAGGAGGAGAAGGAGGAGGAGGAGGAGCATTGCAAAGCGGAGGAGAACGAGGACCACGAGGAGGGGCACGAGGAACACAAGGAGGAGCACGGCGAGCAGGAGGAGAAATACAAGGAGGAGGTCGATGACGAGGTAGAGGATAAAAGGGGGCAGGAATAAAACGAAAAGGAGGAAAAGCAACAAGAGCATGAGAATGATTTCGTATGAGGAAGGGGGCGAGAACGAGTGAGTTGAGGAGATACATGGCGAGGAGGCGGAAGGAGGAGGAGGAGGAAGAGAACAACGAGGAGGAGGAAGAGGAGAAGGAGGAGGAGGAGGAGGAGGAGGGGAGAGATGGACTAAGGCACACCTCATCCGAGCTACGTGCGAGGAGGACGAGGACGAGGACGAGGACGAGGACGAGGAGGACGAGGAGGAGGAGGAAGAAGAGGAAGAAGAGGGGGCGGAGGCCCTGGAGGATCAGAAGGAAGAGGAGGAGGATGAGGAGGAGGAGGAGGAGGGGGAGGGACTGAGGAAGAGAGGAGTGGGAATAGGAGGAGACGGTGTAGTGGAAGGGGGAGGGCGAGGGCGTGAAGCAGAATTACGTGGATGCTGAGGAGGAGGACGACCATGGTGACGAAAAGCTAGCGACGACATAGGACACCTCGTCTCAAGAAACGCTGTTCGGGGATGCTGGACGTTGGCTATATGTTTCATTTCGGCACGCACGGTGCAGGTGCCGTGTTTCCCTCCTCCAACCCCCATCAGCCGCGCGCGCCCTTTCCGCCCCTATGAATTAATTTCGGCACGCACGGCACCGGCGCCGCGCCCCCTTATTTCCCCCCCAAGCAGCCGCACCAGCTCCGAATCGCCTACCAGCCAGCGCGCCCCCTTCGCCCCGATGATTTTTTATTTCGGCACGCACGGCACGCTCCCCCCCAGCAGCCGTTTCAGCTCTTATTCCTCCACCAGCCAGCGCCGCCGCCGTCCTCGCCGTCGTCGTCGTCGTCGCCGCCGTCGTCGTCGTCGTCGCAGCCGTCGTCGTTTTCCGTCAGTTTCGTTTTTGACGTCGTCGTCGTCGCCGTCGTCGTCGTCGTCGTTTCGTCGTCCTCGTCCTCGTCCTCGTCCTCCTTCTCGTCGTCGCCGTCGTCGTCGTCGTCGTCGTCGACGTCGGGGGGGCCGCTCCCAGGCGCTTCGAAACTGTCCAGAAACGGTTCGCGGTGGACTGCCAATTTGAGGGAGAGGGCCGGGATTGCAGATCGAGGTCCGAACCTTCAGGATTGCGGTTGGATGCGGCTCAGAAAATGAATGTGTTCGGTTATTGGGAAAGGTCCATTTTGATCGTAGAGAGAAGGAAAAGGATGATG